CACCGTGAGGCCGCTCCCCAGCTTGCTGCAGGCGAAGGCGATGTCCGGCCTTGTCGTCGTCGCCGCGAACTGCAGCGAGCCGACCTTCTGTCGGTACTCCTCCTCCTGTCGCTCCTGTGCCTCCTCGTCGTCGAAGGTGAGCTCGGCGTAGGCGTCGACCGAGACCGGCGTCTTCAGAGTCCGCCCAGTCGGCTCCTCGTCGATGAAGCGCCTACGCAGCTTGTCGGCGTAGCCTTGCTGGTGCAGCCACAGCTTCCCCGCCGACCTGTCGCGGACAATCTCCAGCCCGAGGTACTTCTGCACCGGCGAGATCTCACGCAGCTCGAAGGCGGACTCCAGCAGCTCCTTCAGCTCCTTCAGCATCTCGGTGCTGCTGCTGGCGGCGAGCAGGTCGTCGACGTAGACCAGCACCCAGCAGGTCACTCCGCTGTCGCCGACCTTGAAGTACAGAGCCTCGTCGACCTGGCTCTTCTTCCACCCGGCGCCGACCAGCACGTCGTTGAGCGCCAAGTATTACAGCAGCGGCGACTGCTTCAGCCCGTACAGGCTCTTCAGCAGCTTGCATACCCGGCCGGTTCCGACGTTGAAGTAGTCCGGCTGGGACATGTAGAGCACGTGGACGAGCTTGCTCTGCAGGAAGGCGTTCTTCATGTCGAGCTGCATCAGGTTGAGGTTGAGGACGGCGACGATGCTGAGGAAGATCCTCAGCGTGACGTAGCTGCCCACCGGCGCGAACGTCTCGTCGTAGTCGGCGCCGTACACCTGCGTGAAGCCCTTCACGACCAGCCTCGCCTTCTCGCGCTCGACGGTGTCATCGACGTGGTACTTCGTCGTCAACACCCACCGGTTCTTCATGACATTCACTGAAGTCAGCCCGCGCAGGTCGGCCAGAAGTGTAGGGGCAGGGGCCATAGAGGGAGGGGTAGGAGGTTGGACGTCCTCGACGTCCTCAGCAGCGAGCTCACCGACTTCAGCGAGCAGAGGCAGCGTCACCGACGAGGTGTCAGTTGGCGGGGTGGACGGCGTGCGGCCGGCCACCGGCCCGTGCTCCGACTTCCACTCGGCCAACGACATCTCTTCATAGAACACCACGTCCGACGTGGTGACCACCCGGTTGGCGTCGACGTCGAGGAGCTCCCAGCCCTTGCTCGCCGCCGACACGCCAAGGTGAAGACCCCACCTGGCCTTCGGCTTCAGCTTCCCACCACGCTACTGCTCGGGGACAAGGAACTGCGCCATGCAGCCCCACACCCGTACCAGCGACAAGTCGGGCTTCTGCCCGGTCAGCAGTTGGTACGGCGTCGTCCCTGACGGCAGCGTCGACCTCTCAAGGCAGTTGCGGACCCAGACGGCCTGCCGCACAGCGAGGTGCCACCAGTGGTGCTGCACGCCCATGTGCAGCAGCATCGTTCGCACCGACTCCACCACTGTCCGCATCTCCCTCTCCTCCATGCCGTTCTGCTGCGGGGTGTACGGGCAGGTCAGGTCGTGGACGATCCCCTTGCCGTCCACGAAGTCGGTGAACTGCTTCCCGAGGAACTCCCCTCCTCGGTCGGAGCGAAGCATCAGCACCGACTTCTTCGTCTGCCTCTCCACCAACACCAACCACTTCTGGAACTCCAGCAGGACATCCGACTTCTTGGCGACCGGCCTCACCCACACAAAGCGGGTCTTGCGGTCCTTCAGCAGCAGGAAGTACAAGCTGCCATCCTTGGCAGCCACGCGAAACGGCCCGCACAGGTCGATGTGCACGATGGCCAACACGTCGTCGGCGTCGGAGCCTTGGTCGGGGAAGGTGTGCCGCGCCAGCTTCCCGCCGACGCACGAGACACACGGTGAGTCGGCCCCTGTTGTCGACTTGAGGTCCAACCCAATAGCGACCTCATTCTTCGCCGAGCTCTTGATGGTGTCCATGCCGACGTGGGCAAGTCGTGCATGCATCCTGTCCGGCGTCGACTTCGTCTTCGAGACGATCGCCCGTAGGGCCACAACCTCCGTCGTGGGCGACGTCGACCTTGGCGAACAGGGACGCAGGTCGGTGCAGAGGACACGCCCGGAGTACGTCGCCCGACCAAGCACCTCCCCGGCTGCCGAGACGAGCAGCATTCCGTCTCCGTCGTCCTGAAGCTTCACACCATGCTCCTTCAACTGACCGGCCGACAGCAGGTTTGCCCGCACGCCCGGGACGTACAGCACGTCGGGGATGAGCACCCGCTTCCCGGCCTCTCCTTGCAGGGTGACGGTGCCACGGCCCTGGACGTCCTGCAGCGCCCCATTGAAGCCGCGCACGTGCTTGATGGGGCCACTTGGCTGCATGTCGACGAAGACTTCCTTCGTCCCGATCAGGTGGTGGGAGCAGCCGCTGTCGAGCAGAACCACCGCCGGGTTCGCCTGCACAGCTGCCGCCACCGCCTGGAAGTCTTCTCCGGCCTCCGGCGCCAGCGAGACGGTCGGCTCCACGACGCCGTCTTGTCGTCCCGCGCCTTGCCGCCAGCAGAGGAGTCGGCGTCCTTCGCCGAAGTCGACATCTTGGTCGACTGCTTCTCCTTGCGCGGCTGGTTTCCTCCTCGACGAGGACGACGACTGCCAGACCTCCCACGGCCTCCCTTGGCGTCGTCGTCTTCGGAGTCACTGCGGTCGGGGCACTCAAAGGAGAGGTGATCGGGGTCGCCGCACAGCCAGCACTCCCGACGTCGACCTCCTCCTCCTCGACCGCTATCCTTGGTCGACTTCTTCTTGTCGACCTCCTTGGCCGGCTTCCAGCCACTGCTACCACCGCCTCCAGCCTGTCCGCGCTGCCCTGGTTGACCACCTTGCTTCGCCGGGGCGACGAAGTTGGCCTGCGCCAAGAGCTCCTGAGACCGCTCTGCCTCCTGCATCGCCTCGTCCTGCAGGATGTACGAGGTCAAGTTGTCCTCGTTGAGCGTCGTCCTCGTGCTCGGCGCCATGGACAGCCGCTTCAGGAGGTTGTAGCTGCTCGAGAGTCCCTGCATGACGTGGGTGATGTACGACGCCGTCGAGTACTGCGCGCCGCCCATTCTGATGGTGGCGAGAATTCGCCGGGCCCGGTTGCAGTAGTCGGTCGCCGTCTCCTCGTCGCCCATACGCAGGTGCGTCAGCTGTCCCTCCAGCTGGGCGATGAACAAGTCGTCGGTGACTTGGTAGGTCGACTCGATGAAGTGCCACGCCTGGTGGCCGGCGTCAAGGTACTCTCGGTACCACTTCAAGGCGATTTGCACTCCCGGCAAGCAGCACCGCGAGATGACCGTGAAGGTCAACAGATGCACGGCGCGAAACTCCGCACGCAAGTCGGGGTCGTCCGGCGTCGCCACGGAGCCTCGAGCAAAGCTTATAAGCCCGGCCATCTCCAGCTGGGGCTCGATGGCTTCCTTCCAGGTGAGTATGTCTGGTCGACCAACGAGCGGCGGGGTGACCAAGATCCTGTCCGGCGTAAACTTGAAGTAGTCGTAGCTCAGTGCTATCCCGCCCGCCGTCACCTGGGTCGCCGACATTGGCGACAATCCACTTCGTCGACCTCCGACGTCACCCTGCGAGGAGCCTGCAGCCGCCGACGACCGCACCCCCCACGCCTGAACACCGCCGACTTCATCGGCGTGAATCACACCTCTCTGCCTCGACGTGCCTCCCGCACTGCTGCCGACTTGGCCACCTCCGGCGTTGACGCCGACGTTGACGCCGCCTTCGTTGGTCACCGGTCGAGGAGAGGCCGGCCGAGAAGGGGGATGCTTCGTCACCAACATCGAGTGAAGTGCAGCCTCGACGACCGCCCAGGGTATCGGCGCGTACTCCTGGGCCTCATGGCGTCTCCTCGCATCCTCCAGCCGTCCCTCCAGGGTGTCCATCACCTTGGCATCACCTACGCGCACGTTAGGGACCTGTACGGCTGCCGGCCTACGAGCAACTTAGGTATGTGACCTCTACGTCGACCTGACTGAAAGGTAAGTCGTGTGCCGTCCACGCTCACCGCACCATGCGGAGATAACTACTACAACGGGAGCTAGACTACGGGCTAGGCACGGGTGCTCGTGTGATCTCTGCGTTCGTTGGTCCTTAGTCGTTTTCCTAGTGCTCACACTGCTTGCTAGTTCACAGACCAATTTGGCAAGAGTTTCACTAGAGAAAGTTTGACAACAATGGTACAATGAAGTTGGCAAGACAAGACTACATCAGAGCTAGCATGCAAGCTGGACGACTGCCAGCGCAGCATGGTCGACCGCGTTCTAGCACGAATTGGTCGACCACGTTCCAGCTGTGCAAAGTCGCGGCTTGCCAACACTGCAAGTCGACGGCGTGCCAATGTCGCAGGTTGACAGAACAGCAGCGCACCTGCTTCGCAGGTGCTCGCAGGTGATTGGCGTGCCGTGCCTCGTCACCTGCACAGCGCACACACCAAATCAACCACGTGCTGACGACTGCATCCGATCAGCCACGTCGACCTCGGGATTCCACCGCCGAGGTCGGACTCGCCAACTTCGCCTAGGCGACCGTCGCACACCTTCGCAGAACCTCGTCACCCAGGTAACCTGGTCGACCATGCAACCATGTCAATCAGCTGCTCCTCCACGTGCCCGTCGACCACCTTGGTCGACGACCACCTTCGGTCGACCTCACCAGGTCGACCACACCCCCTGGTCGACCAACTCTAGGTCGACAACACTCCTAATCGACCAGGACCAGGTCCAGGTCGACCAGCACTTCCTGTCAGCCGACCGCACCACGTCGGCTTCCCCAGGTCGGCGTCACCAAGTCGACGCCCTGCCAGGTCGACCTCCCAAGTCGACCACCCTGCCAGGTCGACTTCCCAAGTCGACTGCACAGCCTGGTCGACTTCCCAAGTCGACCATAGAGCCAGGTCGACTTCCCAAGTCGACTATACAGTCAGGTCGACCTCCCAAGTCGACCACCCTTGCAGTGGCCCCCGTGCTGGTCGACCAGCCCTGTCGACCAGCCCACCCACTGCTGCAGGTCGGCTGCAACCCTCACATCCGACCACGAAGTCGGCTCCGCCCAAGCGAGGACGGGGCCAAACACAACTCCCGTTGACAAGCAGTAGCAAAGACCAAGTCGTCCACGTACAGGAGAACGTAGAACGGCGGCAGAGTGGTGTCGGTGCGTAGAAACAGCGACGGGTCAGCAGTAGAAGGAGCAAACCCAAGAGCAGCAAGAGTAGTCCTCAGCGTGTCGTGCCACTCACGGGGTGCCTGGCGGAGACCGTAGACTGGCCGCCGGAGGCTCCACTGGGTACCAGCAAGAAACGACCCAGTGAAGCCAGGTAGGCGGCGCAGCCAGATCTCCTCGTGCAGGCTGCCCTGTAGGAAAGCAGTGCTGAAGTCAAGAGAGTGGAGCTCGTAGTCACGCTGAGCGGCGACGTGCAGCAGAACCCGAAGAGTGGTCATCTTCGGGGTAGGGGAGAAGGTCTGGAAGAAGTCAACTTCCTCACGCTGACTGAAGCCTCGTGCAACGTAACGCGCCTTGAAGACAGGCGGAGAACCCGGCGGCCGCTTCACCCTGAAAATCCACATGCCACTGACGATGTTCGCCCCAGGGGGGGGAACCTCGTCGACGTAGGTGCCTGTGGACTTCCAGGAAGCCATCTCTGCGTCCATGGCTGACTGCCACTGAGAGGAGTAGGGACCCTCTATCGCCTCTGCGTAAGAGCGCGGGGTCGGGATGTTCGGTGCATCCGGGTCTCCCTCAGGGGCAATCAGCATGGACACGAGATGAGGTAAAGCAGCGGCAAAGCACTCAAACTCCTCCTGTCTGTCCTCAAGGACGTCCGTGCCAAGAGCACACTCACCCCCGACGGACGGAGGACAGATAGACTCAGACTCAGACTCAGCAACAAGGCTAGCGGCGTAGTCTAGACGTCAGGCGGCAGCAAAGTCAACAAGCTCAGCGACTAGAGCAGACGCAGCAGTGGACTCAAAGGTAGGGTCAGTGACAACAGTGGCGAGGAAACGCGTGACAGTAGGACTGGCAGCACGAAGGGAGTCAGACTCCGGGTCCGGACCGTCAGGAAGAGAGGACGCAGGAGGAGACGGCAGAGGGACACGCTGTGGAGCAGTGGAAGGACGCAGAGTCATATAGTGAGTGCCAGGGACAGGAGGAGGACGCTCATGCAGAACACGACGACCAGTGCGGACAGCGCGGACATGCAACTCTGGACGAGACTCAGGCGACGCAGGACGAGACTCAGGCGACACAAGACGAGACTCAGGCTCACGTCGCTCCGTAAGACCTCTAGTCGGCCCAGCGTAAGGAGAAGGACCAGGCAGCGGAGAGGTAGGCTGTAACTGTGACTGCGACTGGACAGGCGGTGGACTTAGTAGGGGAGGAGTAGGATTAGTAGAGGGAGGGAGGCTAAGAACCTGCTGAAGGAGCGGAACGTAGTACGGCCGCGGCCGCGCAGCACCTCCTGAACCAGCAGAGACAGCACCAGCACCCTCAGCCCCAGGGTCTCCAGCTACAACTCCCGCAGCACCACCAGCAGCTCCAGCAGCCCCAGCACCTCCAGCTCCAACTCCCGCAGCAGCTCCAGTCCCAGCAGTTCCAGTACCTCCAGTACGAGCACCTCCAGGACCAGCGGCTCCAGCAGCTCTAGCACCAGTAGCACCTCCAGCAGTACCAGCACCGGCAGCACCACCAGCTGGTCCAGCACCAGCAGTACCTCCAGCAGTACCAGGGCCTCCAGCGGGCGGCACCCCAGCGCTAGGAGCGCCGCTCCGGAGGCTGCAGCGCCGAGCGTACCACTCACGCAGCCGCTGTGGGGAGGGAGGCTTCGGCCGCGACACGGCACCCGCAGCACCACCAGCTCCAACTCCAGCAGAACCCCCAGCTCCAGCAGCCCCACGCCGGAGGCTGAGGTTGAGCTGATGCGCAGCGTATCGAACCGCAAACGGCCACAGAAAATGGGGGGCAGCCGCATGGATCAGGGAGGTACGAGCGACCTCCATGACTAAGCCAATGCGGCACTCAGCAACCCCATTCTGCTAAGGAGAGGCCGGAAGCGTGAACGACTGCTCAATGCCCTCCCCCTGAGTGACCCATTTTTGTCAGGCGCGATGAACAGGCGAACGGTTTCTTTGGGTGTGATAGATTTCCTGCACGCAACGGAGTGACCCATTTTTGTCAGTCTATCAACGACGACCATAACCGCGTCGTTACCCCCAAGGCTCGAAGGTAACCCTGTGACAAAATCCATAATAACCTACTTCCATGCGCGCTCGGGCGGTGGGATCGGCTGCAATTGTCCCGCATTATATTTTTGCAAGCTCTTCATCACCTGACACATAGGACATGACCCCACGTGGTGCTGTACGTCGGACAACAGCTCCGGGCAGTAATAATATCGCTGTAGTTGCTGTCGCATTTTTTTCTACCCTGAAATGACCCGAGGTGACCCCGTCGTTTGCCTCTAGCAGTAGCGATTCCCTCAGCAACGAATACGTTGGTATCCAGATGCGATAAGTACCGGCTCTTACGTAATACACTCCCTTTGTTTTTGTTAGTTTATGTGAATTTCCGGTTGTGAAAAATGGGTCGGTGTGGTACCCGTGAGTGAATAGGCCTGTTAACAGTGGGTTGGTTTGGGTGAGTAGGATGGGGTGAAGTTGGGCAGTGGTGCGGGTGAGTGCGTCAGCAATGTTTGACGCTCCCTTGTTTGTATGTGACGGTGTAGTGGAAGTTGGATTCCAAATAGTCTAACCAGCGGATCTGTCCCGGATTAAGATTCGGTTGGGCGCGGAGGTACTGTAGTGATATGTGGTCTGTTTGTACTGTCACGTCTGCTGTGGTGAGGTAGCATCGCCACACTTCGAACGCATGCACAATCGCCAACATCTCGTGGTCGTGTATCAAATAGTTGCATTCGGGCGGGTAAAGCTTGCGGGACTCGTACGCGATTGGCTGAAGGCCGTTTCCGAATTCCAGCAAAAGTACTGCTCCCACGGCGATGTCACTTGCGTTGGTGACCAGTTCGAACGGGCGGTGTGGGTCGGCGATGTGCAGTATGGGCGGCGAGCACAAGTTTTTCTTGAGGGTCGAGAAGTCAGTGCTCTTTCTCACCCCACGTGTACTCAAGCCCCTTACTCGGCAGACCTGTCAGTGGGGCGGCCAGCTTCGCCATGTCGAGATTGGACAGGTGCACGTAGTGACGAACCCTAAGAAACTCTACAGCTCAGTCAGATTTGTTGGCGCGTGTCGTGCTTGAATCGTCGCGATTTTCTTCGGGTCTATTCCACTCTCCGTCGGCTGTTGAAGCGTGCCCTAAAAACTCCAGCCTGTCCTGTTGGAACTCTCACTTAGAGGCTTTGTTAAGTAGGTGGTTCTCACTTAGTATTTTTTAAAATGCTTCGATGTCCTATAGGTGCTATGCTCTGTCTGGGTTGTAAATCATTATATCGTCCATGTAGACAAATACACACTTATCTAAAAGCGAACAGAAGGCTTCGTTCATCATCATTTGGGAAGTCGTAGGGGCGTTGGTCAGTCCGAAGGGCATTATCATGTGTTTGAATTATCCGTAGCGTGTTGTTCGGAAGGCTGTTTTCGGACAAACGGGTGGGTTGACGCAGATCTGGTGGTAACCTCCCATGCTGTGCGCAGTTGGTCGACAGTTCGACGGCTCGCGGGATGGGGTAACCGGACTTGATGGTAACTCGGTTCAGTGCGCGGTAGTCTATGCACATGCAAAAAGCCCCGTATTTATTCGGTGTAAATAGTATCGGTGCGGCGAAGGGCGACGAACTCGGGAAAATGAACTGTTTTTCGAGCAGGTAATCCAACTGCTTCCGCAAGTTCTTCTTGTTCGGGTTGGGTCACTCGAAACTGTCACTGTAGTGTCGGCTGTGCCCCCCGTTCCAGTTCTATCATGTGGTCATGCGGTCTCTGAGGTGGCAGTCCCTCTGGTAGGTCGTCCGGGAAAATCCCGCTGTACTGCCAAGTCATCCTATACGTCGGCGAGCAGTTTCAGTAAACCGCTTCCCTTGTCTGCTGCCTCAGGTTCTCGGATGTCAACCGCATACACATCAGCTCCTTCCGCTACGGGTGTTTCATCGTTATCGTGTCGACACGCACCGACGAAGACTCAGGTAGGGTCCAGTGAGGTAGGGCGATGTTGTTACCGTTCACTCGCGAGGTGCAGTCACTCGTCGTCAAGTCGATTCGCGGATTGTGTCGTCGCACCCAATCATGGCCGAGTAAAATGTCTGTCCCGTCGAGGGTCGTTGCGAACATCTCTTGGGTAAACGTGAAGCTGTCCCCGCATAGGATCCGAACTCGGCCCACGTGTTCCCGTTTGCCAGTGGCATGCCGTCAACTAGTCTTGCATCAATCTTAGGTAAGCATCTATCTTGTGGCAGTTGACGGACAACTAGTCTCCGTGCAGTATGAGGTTGTCTACCGTTATACCCTCCTTATTCGGCCGGGTGTGGTCGATTGCGTGATCCGGCACAATTACTCGGTGAGGGTCGGTTGGGTCAGGCGAGCAGCGTCACCTGACAGTAGAGGGCCGTCTGCTACTGACTCCAGGCGTTTCCCTGCTGCTTGGTCTGTTTCTGCTGCTCAGCTTCCCTTTTCCTTAACATTTTCCGGGCATTCGCTCTTACGGTGTCCCCGCCTCTTGCACGCGAAGCAGCGCCCTTTAAATGGTGTGGTAACGGCATTCCGGCGACCACGGGTATTGTGGCGTGCTTGTTTGATCCCCGAGTCCGATGTCTACACCTATTGTTGTTGTCGTAGGACTCCGATCTCGGTCGACAATGAAAATAAAAAATCTCCGCCATAGCGAGAATCTCGTTGAACTCCGTGACGATGCGCAGCTGAATCTCTTGAACGATTTCGTGCTTCAGGCCGCCAATGTAGCGGTAGATACGCTCTCCCTCGTGAATGTATCCCACCTTCTCGCACAACGCCAAAAACCCGCTGGTGTAGTCCTGGATGGAACCGAGCTGGCGCCAAGTGCGGAGCCTCTGGCGCACCGCGATCGAGGCCGCGATTGGCTCAAATGTCATGTGCAGACCTGCGCACCACACGTCCCACGTGCGATACTGGGGCACTTCCATGAAGTAGGACACGTCCCGGAGTCCGGTTTGTTCTTCCCGTGTCGGTAGAGTCTCGTAGTCCGTCGGTTTCATGACGATAATGCGCCACCAATCCATGGCATTGAAGAAAAAGTTTTCATCGTGAACAACCACGGCTAAACGGCAGGACCACCCCGTTGGCAGGGATTAAAACCGGGGTGCACATTCAGCTGAATGTGCATCAAAGGTTATCCCTTGACTGAGTGGGTTACGAGGTGTGCTTTCAACCCCTTCAAGTCGAAATTCGTTTCCCCCCTCCCCCGCAATTTCGTTTCCCCACGCCCCCGCAATTTCATTTCCCCCTCCCCGTCGAAATTCGTTTCCCCCCTCCCCCGCAATTTTGTTTCCCCCCTCCCCCGCAATTTCGTTTCCCCCCCCTCCCGCCAATCTGTTTCATCCCTCCCGCCATTCGGTTTCACCCACTCCCGCCATTTCACCCCCTCCCGCCACCTACGAAATGCCCGAAGCTCTAGCGGAATCATTTTTTTGTCGCCCCTCGTGAGCCAATCACTGTTTTTCTCCAAACCCCCTTCCCAACATCTCAAGCCGAACCGCGTTGAATGTGCACCCTGGTTTTAAAGCAAAGCAGACGCTACGGCTTGAGCGGCATCGGCGACGGCATTGCTTACTCGCCAGTCGGCACCAAAATCGTGACATGCGGGTGGTTCCTGGCCGCATTCGTTGCTTCGGGGTGTGTCGCGTCATGGTCGTCGTCTCCGTCGTTGCTGGCGACGCCATCACTAGCTGCGCTCGAGGGTTGCACCATGCTTCCGTATTGCAAATCTTGTCGTGCTGCTTGTCCCTGTGTGGCTTGTGCTTGTGATTGTGCTTGTTGCGCCAGTGAGACATCGTTTTGCAGTGACGCGCGTTCTACCATCAACGCCACAATCTCTTCATAGCTTTCCCGCAGCTGCTGCTGAAGTTGGTTCAGACGCCCCTGCGTGAGTGTCGTAACGTCGATATGCTTAACCATGTCAAAGGGGAGGCGGCTACGCTTAGCTTTAGGCGCAGTTGTGCCTGCACGCGTTTACGAGATAACGCGAGGACAGCGGTTCCTAGGGGCTAAGGGGCGTGAGTCCCTTCGAGTGAAAAAAACAAAAGTTGTTTTCTCTGTGTGCAGAAATGCGCGGTCCAAAACGGAAGTGGCTCTGATTACCAATTGTTACGTGTGCAATGGAACGAGGTAGCGAGGATTGCACTAGGTGTCAAACGAGTACAAAGTATGAGCGATGGCTAGAGCAAATACTTATACACGAAACATGCAAACGGTAATCCGGTGCGTGCGAACTAGCTAGTGCTAGGCTGGCATTGAGGTTCGGGCTAGTCTGGAAGCATAGACCGACTCGACCAAGTCAGCGGTGCATGGTTTGGTGAAACAGTGCGCGCGAAGTTGGCAAAGCCCCGTTAGCAGTAACGGGCGAACAATGGCTGTTGCTGTTGTTGAGCATTCTTTACCAGGACAATCTGGTGAAAATCAAGAACCGCTCGGTACCACACTCCACCGTACAAGCACCAACGTGTCCCGAAGTGCCCCTTTCATGAGGAAATGACGAACTGCCGTTTTTTCTTGTTTTTGATTCCAATGGGCAGTGGTTTTGACCACGCATCGCTCCTCGATCGCGCCAAATTCCCACGGGCAGTTTGTGGGCGTGAACGCACATAGTAAGTTATTTTATGGGGTAAACAAATATAAACCCTATCGGGGATGACATAAACATGGGAGGCATCAAAACCTAAACACAATGTGGCAAGGTGTTTAGGGTTGATGTCTCCCTAGTTCGCATCCCTTTCCTTAGAGGGTTTATTTTTTTTTTCGTGCGTGAAACTGTATTGAGACAAGACTCGACGTTTAAACGCCAGAAGGGTTGCGTAGACTGTCACGGTAGCAATTCTCTACAACGTCCCTCACGTCTACTGTATTTGAAGAGTATTTCAGTTGTAACTCGCCGATTAAAACTTAACATAACAATGGTGAAATGAAATATTTAGATATGTAACATCATACACGAAAAATGCGCCAGAAAGAATCGTAGCTGAATTTGAACAAATTATTTCATTCCAATTACCGTAACACTATGCAGTATGATTTTTTCTGTGGCTATGAAAGTTGCAAAGAAGTGGCACGCTGAAGATTACCAATAATGACTAACATTTGGATAACAAGATATGAATGACACATATTTCCATGATCTATTATTAACAATCAAACCACTAGAAACAGATTGAAACTTCTATAACTTAGAAACCAACTTACACTAAAGGAGATGTTTTGCTGAGTTGGGGTTGGGTGAACAATCCCATCCTTGGCAAGGGTTTCGTTCTCCCCCCAACCAACCGCTCCTCTCAACCAAAATGCTCTCGAGGTATTTTTCTCACGCCCTTTCCAACTTTCTTAAAGCCGTTCAAGAAACTCCAACTACCTTCTCAGGTACTACCGAACCCTACCTTGTTAGTGCCTAAGCCGCGCGCGCCTAGAGGGCTTGCCCTTGACTCTCGTGCATTAGGCAATATAGCATAGAGCACTCGTCCTAGGGCGCTCACGCCTTAGCGCTCATACCTAGGCCGATGACGCCTAGGCGCCAAGCGCGTTGGCCTTGGCGCTCGCGCCTTAGGCGTCATTGGCGTGTTAGGCGCGGGCGCCGTTGGCCGCTGGCACCGTTTGGGGTGGCGCCTTTGAACGCTGGCGCTGGCGCCGCTGGCGCTGGTGCTCGCGTCTTTTGCCACTGGCGGCTCGCGCCTTTTGATGCTGGCGCTGGCGCCTTTTGGGGCGAGCGCCTAAGGCTCTGGCGCCTAACGCGCTGGTGCCTAGCGCGCTGGCACCTAGTGCGCTGGCACCTAGCGCGCTGGCGCCTTGCGCGCTGGCGCCTAACGAGCTGTTCGCATAACGCACTGGCGCCTAGCGCACTGACGCCTATCGCGCTGGCGCGTATCGCGATGGGGCCTAGCTCGCAGGCGCATAACACGCTGTTGCCTAGCGCGCTAGGCTGCTTTTTCTTCTTGTGCAGGCTGTGGAAATTGTGCAGGGTGTGTGAGGTGCTTTCTCTGTTATTGCTTCTTGTACAGCGTAGTGAAATTGCATTGTTTCGAGGTGTGGTGCTAAGTGACTCGTGCTTGCAGCTGAGGTTGTGATCGTCGGTGGGGCAGCTTTGCTCGCCTCTTCCGTACCGGATCAATTTTTGCTGCAACACCGATTCATTTAACGTTCACTTTGAGGCATTCGTGTATTTTCCGTATTGTCATTGTTTGTTTGCATGTGGACATTCGTGTTCATTTCAAGTCGTGGTGTTAAAGCCCGAGTCCCAAATTGCGAGGCGCGTGGGTCATGCTTTTAAAACTTGACGAAGTGCAGTGTGCAAGCTTTGAAAAGTAGCGCACCTGCAATTTGGGACTTTCGGGTGCTGACACAACCCCCAGGGCGAAATACGTGGGCTGGCTGGGTTTGGCGAAAAAAACGAAATGCCCGAAATCGGAATCACTCGCCAAAACCCAAACCAGGAAAAACCCCTCGCGTCATCCTTTTAAAACTTGTGCAATTTGGGCTTCCGGCTTTAAACTGCTTTATGTATGCAATTGTGGTTGTGATTGTCGGTGGGGTAGCTGTGCTTGCCCCTTCCGTACCAGATCAATCGCTGTTGCACCGTAGATGCATTTTTACATTCACCGTGAAGCATGCACGATTTTTATGTTGGTTTTGTGTAACGTATGTGGTTTTGTGTGTGTTTGAGGGTGTGTAGTAGAGTGCGAAATTTTGCGTTTGTGAGTGCACGTTTGGCCAACGTTGCGTGAATCATTGTCCGATTATTCCATTCGCCGTACTTATCGATGATTATGGGGTGATTGGATACACTTGTTTCCAATTTTCGGGTAACTTGCGTGAACAGTGATTTCACCCATTTTTTTGGAGAAAAAAAATCACTGTTCACGTCAGTCAACCGAAAAGTGAAAACGAATGTATGAAGTTGCTACGCAACCCAAAAAAAACAAAAAAAACTGCCCGTGGGAATCGGGCGTGATCGCGAGGCAATGCGAGTTCAAAACCACTGCCCTTTGGAATCGAAATCTGGAAAACACCGCGGTTCATCATTTCCTCCCCTTTCACGGATACTGGGGCCCCAGACAAGAGCATCCATCCCACGCTGCGTGCTGCCATCACCATTGCTCCCCATTCACCCATGCTCGACCTGCCCCATCTTCTCGCTCAAACCACACCCCTCGATACCGCCGTCCTCTTGCCGCACAGATATGCCCGCCGCCTCTCCGCCTGGGTGTGCCTCGCGCTCAACGTCACCGCCGCTTGCCACCTCCTGCTGCTTCCCCCGCGCGTCTCCCTTCCCCTCGCCGCGCATTCCCACGCGTCGGACACCGGCCAATTAGACGTGGGCTATGAAGCTGACTCGCGGGTTGACTTGAGAGGCGGGTTTTGCGCAGCGGGTTTGAGTGTCGCAGACGCCGTGCGATGGCCGTGCTCGTCGCAGCATCGTCGCCGTCCGACGGCCACCGTGCAGGCGAGCGCCGGCGGAATGGCGGTTCATTGCGACGGTGTGATGGATGGTGGCGGCGGCGCTGACCCACGGCCGTGGTAAGAGCCGCTGCGCCCCCCTACCCCCCGTTCCCCTCCACCCGTTCCCCCCCACCCGTTCCCCTCTGACCCCGCGCCTCTCCTTGCGCGTCTCCACCCTCCCGCACCCCTATTTCCAGCGGCACTGCTCCCCGCATTCCCCCTCCCCCTCCCCCACCTGCCTCACTCAATAACCCCCTGTTATTCCTTTCCCTCCCTTACTCCCCCATTTACAACCCCTCGCCCTCCTTTGGTTTGCCTCCTTTGGTTGTCGGCAAGGTCCTTCAACCCGTCACAAGCTTCCACCTTTGCCGTCATCTTTCATTCGCATGGGCGGCGCATCCCCTCTCACCCTCTCGCCGTCTCCGTCCCTCTGCTTCTCCTCAAATCCCTCCCTAGTCCTCCGTGCCCTTCCACCCCAAACCCACCACATGTCCCAACTCGCGCCCACCCCTCACGGTCACTTCACCACCCTTCCCCCCTTCCTTTCTTCGTCTTTCCCCCACTATTCCGCCTCCCCCTTCGCCCCTCCGAGCCCCCAGCAGCAGGCTACAGGGGAAGCTGGTGGCCCTGGGGGCAAGCTGGGGGGCAGCGAAAGGGGGAAGGCGGAGAGGGAGAGGCGGATGGGCGGGGAAGCAGCAGCAGAGGGTTGGCGGGGAGCAAGGAGGAAGGGGGAGCAGAGCGCAGGAGGAGCAAGAAGGGCGCACCGTTGAGAGTGAGGCGGGTGAGGGGGTGGTGTGGGCGGATGGGACGTGCGCCCAGCTGTTTCTCCTCGATAGTGTAGTGTCGTGAGAGACCGTGAGTTCACCCACGCCCTCCCCTCGTGGTGGTGTGGTGTGTGGTATGGAGCAGTGTGACACGGTGCGGTGTGGTGTTTATGGCGTCAGAAAGAGCTCCTCTCAGCCCCCCCTCTCTCAACCACATCCGTTTTGAGTCGACCTAAACATATGCTTTCTCGCGCAACCATGACATCCCTACAGGTAGTGCATGGCATGGGATGGCATGGCATGGAGCATGTCATGGGCCTAACCCATCCCTCCCAGGTCGGGCGGTGTTCTTGGGAGATGAGCAAGATGCCTCCATCGCTCTCTCAACTCGCCTGCAAGGTGACTTTTGAGTCGAGTCAGAAGTCACCCAGGTCAGGCAGGCGGCCTTCTTGGGAGATGAAAGAGATGCCTGCAACTCTCTCTCAACTCGCCTGCATTCTATAGTACAGTGCACGATGTTTGAGGCGCCCTGCCCCATAAATAGTGTCATTATCTCGTACAGTGCATGACGACGGTCGGCCTTGCCCCCAATATTCCTAGGAGTAGATGGATAGGTAACATAACGTATCCGTTGCAGCTTCGGCTTGACTCCGTAGGGAGTGAGCACGTCTCCCCCTCCTCTGTTTTTTTCCGTGAATGAGTTGATCACAACACTTTCCCGGCAACAGTGTGTATAGTGTATGCGAAGTTATGCTCGTATGTGTTTCAGTCATAATCGGCACTCAGATTGAATAATAGACCCACGGAAGGAGTAAAATCTCAGCAGAATGAGACAACTGAGAATCTGACGGGCCGGTCTGGTCCCTCACAGGCCGGTTGGAGTGGGCCCTTGAATCATACATACCTACCTACATTCATTTACCCATCCATCCATTTATTCATCCATCCATACACCCATCCATGCACCCATCCATACACCCACCCATCCATCCATCCATCCATCCATCCATCCATCCATCCATCCATCCATCCATCCATCCATCCATCCATCCATCCATCCATCCATCCATCCATCCATCCATCCATCCATCCATCCATCCATCCATCCATCCATCCATCCATCCATCCATCCATCCACCCACCCACCCACCCACCCACCCACCCACCCACCCACCCACCCACCCACACACCCACACACCCATGCCCTCACCCTGTCATACAGCCTTCTCCCATCCATCCATCCATCCATCCATCCATCCATACATCCACCCACCCACCCACCCACCCACCCACCCACCCACCCACCCACCCACCCACCCACCCACCCACCCACCCACCCACCCACCCACCCACCCACCCACCCACCCACCCACCCACCCACCCACCCACCCACGCACACACCCATGCCCTCACTCTGTCATACAGCCTTCTCCTTCTACTGCCTTGTCTTCCCCCATTGGCCCCTGCCACCCACCGGGTGCTTGCCTCCGCGCCCTCTCGCTAGCGCACCAGCACACCATGCCCTCCTGTGTCAACACACCATCCACTCCTGTGCCGCATTGGTCCTCACCCCTCTCCGCGCTGTGTGTGCCGCTCACTGCACACCAGCCCTCCACTCCTCCACCCCCCTCCTCCTCCACCACTCTCACCTCCTCCTCCTCCTCCTCCTCCTCCTCCTCCTCCTCCTCCTCCTCCTCCTCCTCCTCCTCCTCCTCCTCCTCCTTCTCCCCCTCTCCTTCCTCCCGCGATCCACACTCCTCCCCATCATCTGCCCCACCAGCCTCTTCCAACAGCTCGCCATCGCAGCTACAGCCACACTCGCCCGACACCTTTCACTGCCCCCCCACATGTTGCTGACACCCAGATGGGCTTTCCTTCCTGCCTGCATGCCTACCTGCCTCCTGTGTCGCCCTTCTGTTCCCAAGACCTGGCCTTCCCTGTCTGTCCCCATGCCTGTCATCACACTGACCACACGTCTGCCTTGCATGCCTCCTCCCATAACTGCCCGTGTCCCCGTCTCGCCCCCAACTCGCCCCCAACTCACCCTTCCAGTGATCTCATCCCCATCTCGTCCCCACCTCCTCCTTCCCACTCCAATCCGGACATCGGGCTCCTGTGCCTCTTGTCACTCCACCCCCCGCAACCATGCCATCATGGAACTCATCGCCTAACCTGCCTCTGCCCCCACCACACATCTCTAGCAGCCCCCACCACACGTCTCTGCCTCTGCTGCACCCTCTGCCATGCACTTTGGCACCTCACGGCCCACAAACAGGCCACACCACAGCACTGCACAGCACAGCACAGCACATGGGACAGTGTGTCTCCCAAAGCGGCCCTTCCCCCACCCAACCTCCCTGCCTGCACGTGTGATTCCCCTACCTCTCTGCCAGGAGATAGCACAGCTGCGGCAAGCCGTGCAGGGGGCGACTGGAGACATTTTTGTGCTGTTCCAACGAGGTGCAGGGATTTGGAAGAATTTGGAGGGGGGGTAGGGGTGGGGGATGGGAATTCGGGGAAAAGAGGGAATGGGAAGGAAGACAGGTGAAACGAGAAGGAGGAACACGTGTGTGGAAGACGTGAGAGGCCAAGGACGAAGAAGTGAGCTTTCAAGTTTGTGAGGGGGCAGTGGGGATTGCAAAGGGAGCGAGGTGGAGGGAGGACGAACTCCTTCTCAAGCATCAACCGCTCTTTTAAACACAGCCATGCATATCACAGCGGTCAGCTGAAGCTCCCTTCACAATACACCATCCTCTCCTCTCCCCCCTCTCTTCCCCACCCGGCCCGAATTCCCTCCCTCTGCTCCTCCATCCGGCCTTGTCTCCGTCGCGCATTTCCACCCACCCCCCACCTCCGTCCCACCCCACCCCTCTTCTTTGTCGCGTATTCCCTTGCACGCCCTGCCAGGCGTTGCTCTGTTGGGTGCGATCCGCAACTGGGAGGCCATTGATGACTTTAAGGCAGTGCTGCTGCTCTCACCACACCACCACAATGCACGCGCACACCTGGTTTGTACCGCTGTGCTCTACGCTCACCCAGTCCCCCCACTTCCCCCCTTGCCCCCCTTTCCCCCCTCCTCACCCTCCTTTTCCCTGCACAAACATCATACGCGGCAGCATGCAGTGAACCCCAACACAAACCCTCTCTTTGAGTCGAGTAAAAAATGCACACGGCAGCATGCAGTGAACCCCAACACAAACCCTCTCTTTGAGTCGAGTCAAAAATGCACACGGCAGCATGCAGTGAATCTCAACGCAAACCCTCTCTTTGAGTCGACTCAAAAATACACACGGCAGCATGCAGTGAATCCCAACGCAAACCCTCTCTTTGAGTCGACTCAAAAATACACACGGCAGCATGCAGTGAATTCCAACACCCAGAATCATAGCGCTTCCCCCCGTATCCCCCCCCTGCTCGCCCTGCTTGTGCTTTTCCATGCCAGTGCCAGCACTACAATCCCACCACAACCACACCGCACCACAACACACCCCACCCAACACTCCCCACCCAACACACCCCACCCGACACACGCCATCAGACACTCCCCACCCGACACACCCCACCTCCCCTCTCCACCTAGACCAAACCCCCCTTCCTTCCCATCCCCCTCCCTCCAAACCAAACCCCCTCCCCCTCCCTCTCCCCCTCTCTCCCCCCATTCTCCCGCCTCCCACCCCCTCTCCCCCCCTCCTTTTTCCACTCACCCGCAGGCGCAGGCGCTACTGGAAGCGGGGCGGTGTGGGGAGGCGGTGGGGGAGCTACAGGCGGTGGTGGCGGCGCAGGGGCAGTACTGGCAGGTGCGCGTGGTGCTGGGACAGGCGCTCATGGTAGCGGGGCACGCCCAGGACGCTGATGCCGCTCTGCAGACTATTCTGGCCCTGGATTTACGGTGAGGGAGGAGGTTGAGAGGGGAGGGGAGAGGGGGAACTAGGGGGGAGGGAGTGGGGGGGAGGGGAAGGGAGAGGGGGGGGGAAGGGGGGATGATGGGGGGGGGGGGGGTGGGGGGGGGGGGTTGGGTGAATTGTTGGGGACAGTGGTTGGGAGGGGGGTCGGTGGGGGTTGTTGGGGGGGGTTGGGGGTGGTTGCTATTATTTGCTCTCAGACTGTGTGGTGACTTCGTAATCCACCTTGAGATGTTTGTTGCTTTCCACAGGACTACCGTTGTGAGGATCTAGGATCGAGCTCAGAAAAGATGATTTGAATTGAATGATCACCTGGATACAACACGAGGCTATATATAGGCTCGACACAAGGCAGGTAACCCAGGTGTTACGCGAATGTTCCGAGGGTCGCGAAGCGTCCCGAACAGAACCTTCCCGAACTCGGTAGAAAGCAATTCGGTGGCAACCGAATAGCTTGAGTTCGGTACACGTAACCTGGTTCGGTGCCTGTAACTATAATAACTATAGTAAAGCAACGAACCTAGGAATTCAAGCAATTCATGCATGCAGAAAATAAACCTAAGCTAGGAATAGCGTAAGGAAATAAAAGCAAGCATGCATGGCTGGCATAAGCCGACGTACTCTCACAACCGTCACCTAGACTATGGGGGTGTGTCGAACTATATTTTATAGTTTTGTATGTTATAGTCTAGGTGTTACATGTTGCCCTAGTTCAGTTAGGGTTTCATGCATATTTCTAATTTTCATGCTGTTTTGTCAATAATTCTCTTGTTCCTAGTTTGACAGCTAGTGTTGGGTCTGTTGCGACCCCGACCACCTCTCCTTCGACCGTCCCGACTGTGATGAGTCTGACGACGACCAGACGGGGGGCCGCGGGGAAGTCCGACAGCGGTCAATAGCATTGGAACAACCAACCATGCAAGGAAAAGCAGACGTCGAAGACGTCGACGGCAAAGGACGCCGACTCCTCAAGCGACAACATACGAGGCGACAGAGCAGCCTCGTGCTTGTTGGTCGGCGTAGTGGAGCTAGCGATCTCGCTGACGCCAGAGGCCGGCAAATATTTTCAAGCGGTCGTCGCACCGTGCAGGCAAACCTGACGATGGCGCTGCTTGAGATGGGCTGTTCCCACCACCTGATGGGAACCAGGGAGGCCATTGTCGACATGCTACTAGGTGGTGACGTCAGCCACGTGCGCGGCTTCAACGGGGCAATTCAGGATGTTCAAGGCCGCGACACCGTCGTTCTGCAAGGAATAGCCGGGAAGCAGATTCTCGTTCCCGACGTGCTTTACATCCCGGATGTGCGGGCGAACCTGCTAGCCTACATAGGCTCGACACAAGGCAATGCAACCATACGTTATGTGAAGGTTCCGAGGGTCGCGAAGCGTCTCGAGTTGATGTTTCCCGAATTCGATATAAGTTGTTTGGTGTGAAACAGAAAGGACTGAATTTGGTGCACGCAACTTATTGAGGTGCCTTTAACTATAATACTATAGTTAGGCAACAAAACTAGGAAATCAAGCAAAAGCATGCAAGATAAAATATAACGAAGAACGGTAAAGCATAATAAGGTGAAGCTTAGTAGGCAAAGCCATCGAACTCTCATATATGAAGCCACTTCCAAGGTGGCGTCACCCTGTACGCCAACGCGTCGATGAATTACCTGCACCCCAGCTTTCCCTTGATCTTGCTGCTGAGGCCACATCGTCGGAGTGGGAGGCTCACCGTATGGCCTGACTTCCGTACATGGTTTGGGAGTCGCATGACACTCCTACGTGCTTTGCTCTTAGTCATCTCCTCCCACCGGCCTAACGGGTGCACTTTTGCAAGGTCGTGATGATGAAGTTGTGTTTTGATGCTATTTTTGCTCGCTATTCCAACCCCTCCTATCGTAACACTTCATCTTGCCTTTCCTCTTCCCTAATCTCCTTGCCTTGTCCACTCTCGCTGACCCCGTTACCCACCTATGCTCGCTTGATGCTCTCTTTCGAACCTTGCTAAGCACACTCTACCTTGATAGTTCAGCATCACGTGCCCCCCCCCTCCCCCCCACCCCCCCCTCCCCCCTTCACACCCCACCCCATCGGGCCCTGCCAATACCATATTCCGTATTGAACGTTGCGCTGCACCTTCCGCCGAATGGACGACATCTTCCGCCCCCACTTTGGGCCCACGGCGTCCCCCTCTAACCGGCCTGCGCTGTTGCGTTGTGATTTGGCTGTGTTTGATATGGACATGTCTCGGATAGAAACTGCTTTGAATGCCTTATATGCGGATGACTCCAGTGGTGTCGGATCCTATTATTTGTGTGTGCTTGGAATAGGTTATCTAGCTATGTCTAGTGTAAGATCCTCTACTGTGTCTTCTCCAAGTGCGTCCACTGTCGATGCATCCCTCTCTTTCACTCTCGATTCTGGCTTGTCCCAGTGCTTCTTCCGCGATCGCACCACCCTCTCGCCACTTCTAGCCATGTCGCGGTCTCCCTAGCCGAGCCTTTCTCTGGGCCGGTCACATGCATCACTACTGAGCTCGTGCTCAGCAGTCCCCTTTGCTCCCCTTACAGGTATGCACATCCCCTTGTGCTCCACTAAATTGGTGAGTGTCGGTCGTCTACATGAACTCAGTGTCACTACCATGCTTCCTGGGCATGAGCAGTTCACGACCTGTACGGACGCTACCACTGGGGCACCTCTTGCCACGTTTCCCCTTGGACCCTGTGTCAGGTCTTTTCACGCTACAGACTGCGTCGACCCTAGTTCCTGCATCTAGTCAGGTACCATCATCTAGATCACGTTGCCCTCCATGTCTCCATCACACGACTCAACACGGTATTGTCTCTGGTCTCTCGTCATCGCTCCTTGCTCTCCCTCCCGCGTCTGTGCCGCCGTGCATCCCTTGTATCAAGGGCAGGTGTGAGAAGTAAGCCGCCATTCAACATAAATCTAACTTCCATATTTTCCTTCATCACATTCTCATGATTTTCCTCTTTCATTTGCATTTTTTTTGTAGCTCAATCAGACCTAGAGCATTCCAACAATTTCACGTACTCTGTATTTCTCGCAGACTAGAACTTTCTCTTGAAATGATCCTCACCCAGGATGCTACTAAATTCACGCAGTTTCAGAGGATTTGCACAAGTTTCAGATGATTTGCACAAGTTTCATACAGAATAGGGGCTATGCAAGTTCAGGGTTCTACCGTT